ATTATTGACATTGCTCCATTCGCCTCTCGTGACGCCTAACTGGTAATGAGGGCGTGGCTGCACGTGGGCAGGCTCATTGGAAAACCACTGGTCAGCGGCCCTAGAACCATTCACCACAATGTCTAGTTTAATTCTCATATCTTTTCCATCGAGCGTATAAATCGAAGTAGCAGCAATGTGAGTCCAAACAATAGGAGGCGGAGATTTGCTGAAAGAAAAATTACAGTACTTAAATACTTCTAACTAGTAAACATACCCAATGTTTAGAAAGAACATTCATTCTATACCTTGGCGCTCGAACCTGGATTACTTCACTACTGTTATCAAACACATCAAATAACAAAGTGTCGCCATAATTAACACCTTTCTGGAAATACTGTAATCGAAACGATTTTTCTGAACCGCTTCCTAAGTCAGTAATTATTTGTTTAAATTTGAATCSGTTTGTAAGTTTAAATGGCTCTGGCTTTAACCACACCATCATGGTATACCCTCTRGCATTGAACGGTAGAGTAGCGGGTACGTTAGCGTAGCTGTATTGTCCTGTTAGATACAATGCTTTCACTCCATCGACCTCTTCGTATCGAGCTTTGACAGGAGGGTAAGACTTAGACTCCAGACTGTAGAACGAAAATAATAGCTTACGTAATAGTTATCAATTACACGTGGATGTGCGTTGGTGCAATATTATCATAAACAAGCTGTAACAACAATTAAGTAGCAAAAACGTCTTTTTACCTTATTTCTTTGTCATTCCCGTCAAGTGACCAATATTCACGGTCTGATGGAGGCTTTACTGCAGATAAAATATAAAATACAAATATAATATTACATAAAAAACTTCTAATTGCCATATTTTTGTTTCACTGTTGCACATTGTAGTTATGAAGGATATTTATTTCGCGATCGGGCACTGTAAACCAACCTTTTGCCAAAACGTCATTTACAAAATCGTTCTCATAAGAGCTGGAAATCGATACTAGATTGCCGCCAATCGATTTGCAGTGATCTTCTGCCTCACTCCAGTTTTTCTTCASTTGGAAGAGCTTTAAAGCAAACGAACCAAGACGAAACCAACCATCTTGTAGAACTTGTGATGAGAAGAAATAAGGGAATTATCATTGATGATTGTGATTGAGTAGCTGGTGTGTTGGCTAGTTGGGTTTTAGTTGGCTAGTTGGTTGGTTGGTTGGTTGGTTGGTTGGTTGGTTGGTTGGTTGGTTGGTTCTTTGGTTGGTTGGTTGGTTGGTTGGTTGGTTCTTTGGTTGGTTGGTTGGTTGGTTGGTTGGTTGGTAGGTCACTCACCGTCCTTCATCTTACTTATGCAAGATTTGCAGATCTTTGTTGTTTGTATTTCCTGGTAAATCATTGGAGTTGGTGACCAGTTAGTGTTCAGAGCAACTTAAACTCGTTTTCATTTGACAGTGCAAGGAAATCTTACAATCTTGGACATATGAGGGAGGAAGGGGAGGAAGGGGAGGAAGGGGAGGAAGGGGAGGAAGGGGAGGAAG